GGCCACTTTTATTTCTCCTAAAGTTGGTTCGCTGTCCAACTCTTCCAAGACAGGCAGGCACTCGATGTTATTTAGTGCCTCTTCAGTTACTACATTCTCTCTGGAATATAACTCAGAGTAGTGCTGCACCCAGTGTTCCATCTGCTGTGCTTGGTCCTGGATGTTCACACCTGTAGCAGACTTCAAGGTAGCAGATTTCGTCTGTATTGGACCTAAAGCCTGCTTGATACTGTCGTACATTCCCTTGATGTTACCTGTGTCCACTGCTATCTGTATCTGAGAGCAGAGCTGAAGCCAATAATTGTTAGAACAGTTCCTGGCAGCCTGTTGGACTTTGCTATGAGCAACTCAAAGCTTCCAACCCTACGATAATTCTATGATTCTATGATATGACATACACATACAGAACAGTTCTCCTCCATAGCATTGACAGTCCTTTCCGTACGGTACTGTGTGGGCCTTAAAGTTCCTTATGAACACCTGATCTAGAGGCTGAACTAGAGCTATTTTGTTGGGAACAAGTAGACCACTTCAGCAACTTTGGTGTTGAACTCATGGGGTCCTGGGTTTTTTATTGAATATTTATTTATTTATTGGAATATTTATTTATTTATTTATTCATTGAAAAAAATCTGTGTTTAACCAAAACCATGCTGCTTGGACCAATGCAATTTAAGAGACAAGTGAATATGAAAGTTTATAGGAACAGATAATACATTTTACATATAATTTTTCAATACAGCATACCTTTGTACAACCTGGCTTGATGTGGAGCCAGTTTGCAAAAAGATATGTTGTTAAATACAGTAGCAACTAGTACTACCATAATTCATATCCCTATATCTGCTACACATTTTCCTCTCATGTAGCTGTGAGGGGCAATTAAAGGAAATGAGTGAGAAAACATCACACCAATTCTGAATTTAAGACCTGGTATCTGATAAAATTTCATTATTTTTCAACAGCCAGCATAATTTTTATTTGAACTGGAGGTGGCTCTTTTCTCTGACTGTTATGCTTGTTCATTAATACACTCCAATTCTGCTTTTTAAAATTTTTAAATCCCCAGTGTTGCTTACAGTGTAAGCTAAAAACAATACAATTTAAAACAATTGCATAAAACAGCCAGCAGCAAGGTAATAAAAGCAACAGATGCCAAACTAAACAAACAGAGAAAGTAGAAGCATCACTGAATTGTTAACTAAGCAGACAACACACCCCAAAAACTCTCAGGAAAAGAACAACAGTGTGTCTGTTCTACTGTTTGGTAGTAATGATCTACCAAAGCCAGGAAGAATGGCAATATCCTGAGAAATATGTCTTTATTTCTGATATCCTCACCATAACTAGTCAAAAGTTTTCTAGATAGGGGAGAATGCCTTCTGGCTTGGCTCCCTGCACCTTTAAAAAAAAGCACACTCAGATGAAATGCAGAGCTGGGTGATGGAACGGCTTACCAAAGGACTGAATGGCTAAGCTAGATAGCAAAGCTAAGATCAGGAGTCTCCATAACTTGGATGGAAATAAAATTGATGTATTGTCTTGACTTGTAACTCATGCATTGGGAATGCTTTACAAATAAAGTCCACCTTTTTATTATTTATAACATCAAGGGAATTAAATACAAGTTAGAGTGAAAGTCACCCCAGTGCAGACACTATTAATCTTCACCTGGCAGAAAAAGCTACATGTATGTGACCTTCCATGGAACCCTCTGCCATTGGGAGATGAAAATTACATTTTAGCATTCAAAAAGATAAAGAGAGATCCCACCCACCCCTGCCACCCCCTTCAAATTCAGAATGTAAGAGTCAAATCTGGTGGACCCAGGACATCAGTATTCTGCCACTTGATGAAACATTTAAAAGACTGGGGCACAAAAGAAAGATAGTGGTTTGTCATACCCAGTGTATATTAATTTGTATTTTATAATTCTCATTGTTACATAATTCTGTTACTAGTTTTTATCTGATCTGTTGATCATAATAAAGGAATAGAAATAGTGTTGCAGAAAAAATGTCAAATATAAATTGTGTAGCCTGAATTCATTTTTTTTAATTGAGGAAAAATCACTGATCTATAATGATGTCATGAAAGCTGGCATTTCTTAGCTCAGAGATACAAATTTTAGATGTCTTATATTTTAATCTATGGATAAAAATCCAAATCCCATTCACCTTCTCACCCAGTCCTTGACTTTTCAATCAAGCAGTAATGATCTACCAATTATCTTCCCTTTCACCTTGCTCCAGAGGCAAATTGAACTTCCAGCTTCTGGCTCCACAGCCAAATACCTAAACCACTGACCTAATATTTTAAAAGTTTTGGATAAAACCAAAATTTCCTTCCAAGGATTATTTGAGAAAGTAAACTAGGAACTAAGTGTCACTGAAAGGAATATCTTATTTCTGAGCAGACCGAACTCCAGTTTATTTATGTCTTCCTTAAAAACAAACAAACAAACCAACAAACAAAAAACCCTGATGGAGCTCAGTAAGAACATCCCCACTTTAACTAGGCACGTGCCACAGGATTGTCTGGCATATCATAGATGTTTCTGAGACATCAGTCCAATGTGTGTGTGTGTGTGTGTGTGTCCATGTGAAGTGACTGGCTCTGAGTGATTGTCAATCAATTCAGCAGTAACCAATTGTTCACCCTGCCTCTTATTTTGAAGACAGCCATGCATCTCTGTTCAAGAGTATTTTCCCCTCTTTTTCTCAGTCTGCTGTCTGTTAGTCATGTAGTTAGAATTAGTCAGTTAGGCTCTGTCCATTTAACCAGGAATTATTTTTCTACAAAATGTAGTTTGTTTTGATCTATTCAGAAATGTGAGTAAATAAAACTTTTTATTCTTTCTTTTACCAGTGAGTGAGTTATTGCAACTGTAAATGCCAGTTGATGAGAACAACCCAAAAAGGGATGGTCTACTTTGGGGAGACTTGAAGCTAATTGTGCTTGGTAGGTCCCTGAACCTTTTTTTCCTGTGTCGCTAGAGGTTTTTAGTGGGGAAAAAAATTACACCCTGCGAAAACAGATCACTTCCAAGGGTGTTCCCTAACCCTGCCTTAATAGGAGGCAATATGAATCCAGGCCCAGATTTCGAATTGTTGGGGCCTGACTCACCATGCATTGAGGGAAATTGAACTGTGGGAGTTAATCTAGCAATGTATCTACTCAGTGCATCTCTACTTTCCGAAATATTTAATTTAATCCTACACCATTGTGCCAAAGCCGCTAGCTCTCACCTGTGCTGCTTGCCTCTCATTTATGTTCTATACTGTGCATTGTGTCTTTTATTATTCACCGGTGAGTTCTATCTTTTTTCAGCAAGGAGGAAGATGGAGATTTAAAAGCCTCCTGTGCAAATCCTATACTGCTCTCTGAACAGATTTGTCCTCCTTTTATATATATATATATGTTCGATCTCCTTAATCTTTTAATGCATAATTAGAGAAAGTGCATGATTGCAAATTCCCCTTCATTTGCCTGCAGCAGCCAGCTTGTTCTGCCATCAGGGGAATGAAAGGGAGAGAGGGAGAGCACAACGCGCGAGCGAGCAGCAGAATGAACTTCACGGCTTTTCTCAATGGCCGGGTCTTCTGCTCGAGCCACCCTTCCCTTCGCCCGCGCTCTGTTCATTTGCATAATACATTCCCTCGAAGTGGCCATTGGCTGCGAGGAGCCGCGCTTGTGCGTGATGTCAGCGCTCGCAGAGTAATACTCGGGTTGTGGCGGGTAGTTGGAGCCTTGCGAAAACCTTCGCAGCCGCGGCGACCGCAGAGGAGAGACGAGCGAAGCCGGGCTGGGCAGCCGAGCGAGCCCGCGGACTCAGCGGTGGCAGTGTAGTAATATCAGGCCGTCTCCTTCTCTCGCGTTCCCTTCACCGAGGTGGCAAGAACAGGGAAGGAGACGCGCAGGGCGGCGGGACTGGACGCGGGCATCTCACCTGGGCATGCGCCTTCCTTGCCAAGGCTGCTGTCCAGCCGCCTTAGGAAGCCCTGGGAGAGCCCTGAGGTAATTTGAGGGACCCACTTTTCCCGCCCAAAAGAGGTGCTATCCCTCACCTGCTTCCTTCGCCAGGGCGAAGGAAGCCGAAGAACCTTTCCGCGGAGAGAAGAGCACCAGCGCGCGAGGAAAGCCCGGTTCGGCGGAAGGCAAAGGACTTGAGACAAGGGTTTCCACCCCACCCTCTCACCGGCTCTGAGTCGGAAAGGCGCGCCGGGTGAGGGTGGGAAGGTCAGTGCCGCGGGAGGCGCGCGGAGGAGGTTGCAGGGGCGCGAAGGCGTCGCGCGCTTCTGGGCCCGGGAGGGGAGCCTTCTCTCCCCCCCCCTCTCCCCGCTTCGTGCGTGGGCTGGCGCGTGGCGGCTCGAAGACACCAGACTTTACGAGACTGCTGCGCGAGGCGACCCTTGCCGGAGGCTGGAAGACCTCAAAGAGGGAGGAAGAGGGGCCCTTGCCCGCCTTCTGGGAAACCAGGGTCGCCCCGAGTCGGCGGGAGTGGAAGGGCTTTCCTTTACCTAGACGACGGGTCTCGCTGGCGTTTGGCAGGGACCAAGGGTCACCTCTCCCTGCCCCCCCCCGTCCGCCGAAAAGAGCAAGAGGAGGCTGGCCGTTCCTCCTTCCAAAGCAAAGCCACGCAAACTCCCTATTCCCTGGCAGGCCTGTGGGCGTTGCATTTTCTCCCGCGGGAAGCGGCTGGGCGTGAGACCAAGGCGAGGGCACCCCGAGGGGTGTCTCTTCCCCCGGATCTTTCCAAGGAAGTGGTTGGGTCTGGGTGTCGCAAAGAGGTGGCGGGACTTTTAGGCAACCGGCAGCAGGTCTGGCGCGGATGGAAGCTGAAGAGTGACGCGACCTGGTCTCCCTGTGTACTGGACCTGGCGAAGTCGAAGGGACGCCTGAGCAGGTGAGGATCCCTTCCGGGAACCGAAGCGGACGGAAGATTACTTTTCGCGGCTTAGCCGCGGCATCCCGCGCTCCCCACTCCATCCCGTGGCAATATGAACGCGGTGGGTCTCTCCCGATTCTTCTCTCTCGCTGTTCTGGTCGCCTTTTCGTCGCATGTGGTGTCCCTGGAGGCGGGGAATTCGCCCTCGGGCTCCCGCGCGAGACATCAACCCCAGCGGGATGCGCCCAGTTTCTCCCGGCTACAGCGGAAGAGCCTGGCGATGGATTTCATCGTACCTTCTCTTTTCCGAACCTACCTGCGGGAGTTGGTGCTGGGCGGCGGCGGCGGCGATGGAGGGGGCCCTTTGGCCGCTTTCAAAGCACGCTGCAGCCTAGTGCTGAACTGTCCGCCTTTGCTGAGCGCGGCCAGCGCTTGGCTTCCCCGGAGCGGAGCAGCCGAGCCGGCTGGCAGGGCTCGAGCCCCGTCCAGGGTGCTGAAAGCTGGCTCGGTGCGAAAGCTGCGCCGCGCCAAACAGCTGGTGTTGGAAGTAGGCGAAGCCAACCTGAGGAATGACTGTGCACGGCGTCCCGCTGAGGAAGGAGCCCAGGCGGAGGCGAGCCAGCTCGAATTTATCCTCACCGAGGAATTCAGCTGGTGGATCCGGTCGGGAGAAGGCAGGCTGAGGATTCGGGTGATGCCGGAGCGGAGAGCGTCTTTCCAGGGCCGAGAAGGCAGCTTATCAACCGCGATCAGAGCCTCAAAGCCCCGCCTGTTATTCCAGATGGCCGTCCGAGGTGAGCAGCCACTGAGCTTCTACTGTGTCTAGATAAGATCAGGCTGGTTGTCTGCTAGCGCGACAAGGGAGTTAGTTAATCTGGAAGAGTTGATTATGCCGTCGGAGAAAGTTTGGGAAGGCTCTCTGGAGTCACAAAGTGAGGGTGGAGGGCTCTTTGCCTTTCTTGAGACTAAAACGATTTGGTTGAGGAACGTGGACAGAGCCCTTACAATTTTGCTAGGAACTTTAAAATTCCCTCTACTTCCTCATAGCATCAGTCGTCCCTTCCAAAAAACTTTGTAATGTGCTCTGAAAAAATCCCATAGAAGCTTAAAACAGTACATTGTAAGAAAGGGATGTGTGCCTGTGGATGGTATTGAAGGAGTTAATGGAAAACTACACATTTTTCTCCTGGTTATGTTTGCCTAAATTTCTCTCTTAATCTCAATTCCTTTGTTGGAGACACATTGAAGGATAATGTACTTCAGGTTTATAGGTGCTGGTTCTTGTAGTGCTCTGTCCAAAAACAAGATAGTTAATTGAAGACAAACTTCCTCCTTTCCTTGTCCAGGAAACTGTTCTTTCCCTTAGAGAAAATAATAAAAGGGGAATACATGATAACTGTAGCAAGACCTATGTATTTTGGTGGCATCCAATGAACTTTGGTGGGACAACTAAGTAGCAATTGAACTGTGGATGGCTCTGTTTCTACAGGTGTGTCAGTTTTATATAAGAAAAAGCAAATGATTTTCTGGTCATTGACTAATAGCTTAATCCTATGCATGCTTGCCCATAATCAACTGTAGAAAATGGGACAAAGAAGTGATTTTTTTTTCTTGTTCGGCCAGACACATTTGTGATAAATTGTGAGTGCTTTTGATTTACCACCCCCACCCCACCCCCACCTTCAGCCTAGAAAAGACTTCAGGGAAGCCTTGATCTGAAAGCAAGATTTCAGTTTTGATTTTGTTTATTTTGTTCTTTAGGAATGGGATCCCATACATCTGCTATTGCCAAATTTGATAAGTGGGTAATGACCAGACAATGACCAGTGTTCATTTTAATTCAGCCTCTCATTCCATTAATTACTTTGGTGATTGAAAGAAATATCTCTGTATTTTAGAGCAGGTATCTTAAAGAGATTCCACTGATACATCAATCTGCTTACAAATATCCCATGTAAGACACAGTGCAGCTTAAATACCATGGTGTAATTGTATGATGTATGAACTCTTCTAAATAGAGAATAGTTTGTTCCTATAGATTATCCTGTTAGAATACAGACATTACGGTATGAATCATTATGCAGTAGGATTTTGCCTTCTTCTTAATGTTTGTTAATCCAAAGAGTTACAGTTAAAATCGCATGTCAGTTTACAGATCTCAGTCCTCAGTCTGCAGGTTCCAAAGTAGTTCTGAGTTTCTTTGGCTACTTTAAGGTAGATGGATTGGTTTCTTGTGTTATGTATAGCATGCTGAAGGTCATGCATACTGTAGAAACAGTACAAGGGAATAGTAGTTACATTCTGAAAACACAAGGGAAATGTACACAAGGAGATACTCGTAAGTACCATACTGTACTTTTCAGTAGCCTTTTCTAACCTTAGGGGTGCTTCCAGATTTTAAGGCAGCACCTGAAGGCAGCACCTGGCCTCTGCCCTCATTCCTTCAAGCTCCCATCACTTCTCATGCCAGGATGGAAATAAAGATTTTCATATAAGTTTTCCTCCTGTTTTGCACTGGGATGGACATCTGTTGAGATCTACCCATGGGAACTGAACCTTCCATGGATGAGCCATTCTGTTCAGCTGCAAGGATTACTTCATATTGCTCCAGTCCATGAACAGCTTGACTAGGAAAGATCTGCCCTTTCTGGATGAAGAAAATCCCCAACCCTACTCGAAAAGAATGACTCAATATTAATATGCATGAATTTTGTCTTAAAACCCCAGTAATGGAAGATTAAGTAATCATTGAATTTCCTACTTTCCTTCATTTTTCCACATTTGATCTTCCTAACCAACATCTTATCCCTCTTTTTTCTCATATGCTTCACCCCTAGTATCATCAGGATTTAAGAGCTTTCCCCTCACATACACCAATAATTTTAAGCAATCCTCAATTAACACCATGTGCCATAAGAACATCAGATAGCTTTTATTATGGAAAACTCTAATCAGAGAACTGTTAGCTGCTCTGTATTTAATGGCCTGCAGAGTTGTCTTAAATAAATCTTTCCATAGAGATGCCTCGTCTGATAGATTTGAAAATGAACACTGAAGTATCCAGCTTCTGTTCTATATAGAAATCAATGGCCCAGTAAGTTTTAAATTGCTGAAATTACTTCAGTGGGCACAATCTAGATTGAAAGCAGTCTAACTGAAATAAAAATTGGACAAGATGGGCTCATACTCAGTTTTTTGAGCACTGATGGGAGATCTCCTGTAGACTCTTTAAAACATGTCCCTGAAGCTCTGCTCTCGATTTAAAAAACAGCAGCAATGAGATTTTTTAAAATATAAATAGGTGAGCCTTGGAGGTCTTTGTTGTTTCAGCTTGGGGAAGCTATGTGAAAAAAATTATGTCCAAGTGTTACCAACTATTATTCTGGGTGATTCAGGGTTGTCTGGATACTTGGGTGTGTGTAAGTGTGGAACACAGTTTTATTACAAGGTATTTTATCATTGTCTGTTGACTGTAATCCAGAAACAACATTTCAATAATAAAAATACAGTATTACCATCATGATCCTGTATTCAGTTTCAGCACATCTACTCAATGTGTTGTTGATAATGCTTTATACAGGCAGCTGCTCATCTACATAAGGATTTCCAGCATTGTTAACATCAGCTAAAGTGTTCCAGAAATTGCGTTTTTGAGATCCTTCCCCAAAGAACAGCATCTACCCTGTTGTTCCATTGGTCAGGTTAACTTTTGCACTCTGTTTGATAACTAGACTTTTTCTTGTTCCTTTTTTTAGTGAGCAGTTTATAGTTATTATAAGTGAAATTGCCTAATTGACTTGCTCAGTTTTTGTGTTGTGTTAACCGTCAAAGTTATTCTCCATGTGGAGTAGAATTAAAATATTAATGGTCTCAGAAACTGCAGCTGGCCTTTGGCATTCAAGCAAGAAATTAATGTAAATGTACTTAATTCTCTCTCTCTCACACACACACACACACAGAGAGAGAGAGAGAGAGAGAGAGAGAGAGAGAGAGAGAGAGATTCATTTAAAATACTTGGCTAAAGTTCACTCTTTTCTAATTTAACAAAATATTGTTTATTTATGAAGGATAACCTTTAATGTGCATGGGCAGGATTTGATCAATGGATAATAAAGACTGTTGTGGGGAGAGATAATCCAAAAGAATGGCTACAAATGTTCTGTGGAATTTTCTTTAGAAGATAATTGTAAATAATTCTTGTGTAAAACAACTATTTATTACTGTTTATTAGTTGCATTTATACCTTCCTTCCCTCTTATGAGCTCTAGAAGTTCATATGCCACTCCCACTCACTTCAGCTCTGTGACTGGGGACTTGAACTCAGATTTTTCAAGTCTCAATCCAACACTTGAATTACTGCTTCACATGGGCTACCCAACAACAGGCATGAGGACTCTACTCTGGCATTCTTAACATTTTTGTAACAATTTTTAAGAGTATTGGAAACTTTCTACAACTTTCTCTATTCAAAGGTGAGGCAAAAGCTCACAGATTTTCAGCCAGTTGGTTAATCATGGCCATAAAATACCTCAGTCGCAACAGGTTGTGCCAGGGAAGGTTTTATCCTTGCATAGCGGAGCAACAAATCAACATGTCCTTTACTATGTCAATAATATGTGTGTGAACCATATGCTTCACACAAACCTCCATCCACATAGATATTCAGGTCTGCATATTTTCCCATCCACACAGATATGACCATCTTTGTTTTTCTTTCCTTTTGTAAGGGAAAGCATCACACATCATACAATGTAACACTCAGTATGTGGTAGGGCATTGCTATGAATAGAATGTTTTACTTATACAAATCTTATGTAGACTCTCTGTGGTGGTGTAGCCTTAAAAGACAGATTCAGGCTAAGGAAGTAAAAACAATTGCCGTATGCATTTTAGTTACCAATAACCTTGCTTTTGATTATGTTTCCATTTGTTATTTCAAGCATGTGTACTGAGATAGTTCAGTAATCTGTATTATAAGAACTTAATTTCCTTTGACTATGAATTGTTACCCGAATCTTCAAAAGTACATGTTTTGGAGTATATATTAAGTAACAAACACTTTAGTGTACTCTGGGGATGATTTCAAAAGACATAAGACTCACTCATGAAAAGACTGAGATATTGAGCAATGCTCTTAAAAGCAATGCATAAAATAATTTGAGATGTGAGGAAACATTAATCCTTAATCTATAAGATTTGTTGTTGTTTAGTTGTTAAGCCGTGTTCGACTCTTCGTGACCCCATGGACCAGAGCACGGCAGGCCCTCCTGTCTTCCTCTGCCTCCAGAGTTTGGTCAAATTCATGTTGGTAGCTTCAACGACACTGTCGAGACATCTCGTCCTCCCCCATCCCCTTCTTCTCTTGCCTTCACACTTTCCCAACATCAGGGTCTTTTCCAGGGAGTCTTCTCTTCTCATGAGATGGTCAAAATATTAGAGTCTCAGCTTCAGGATCTGTCCTTCCAGTGAGCACTCAGGGTTGATTTCCTTCAGAATGGATACATTTGATCTCCTTGCAGTCCAGGGGACTCTGAAGCACCACAATTCAAAAGCATCAATTCTTCGACAGGCAGCCTTCTTTATGGTCCATCTCTCACTTCCATACATGGCTCCTGGAAAAACCATAGTTTTGACTATGCTGACCGTTGTCATCAAGGTGATGTCTCTGTGCTTTAAGATGTTGCCTAGGTTTATCATCATTTTCCTCCAAGAAGCAGGCGTCTTTTAATTTTGAGGGTGCTGTCCCCATGCAGTGATCATGGAGCCCAAGAAAGTAAAATCTGTCAC